AGGATAGCATCAAAGTCAAGATCAAAGATAGCTACGCCAGCCCTAGACAGCTCTCCCCAACGGGGAATCTCACTAGCCTCGGGGAACTGCTGACGCCAAGCGTCCGTCAGGCGGCCAAAGCAGCGCTGGGTGGGGTGGGCACCTCCACACTGCTCACCCGCGCGGTCGCCGGAACGAAGGACGTAGGTGCACGGACCAAAACCCCCACCCCGCTGACGCTGCGTGTACCACTCACGGAGCTGCTGGGGCGGGGGGATGTCCCGCGAACGCTGCTGCTGCTGCTGCTGCTGACGCTGGCCACCACCAGAGCCGCTACGCTGCGGGGCACCACCCCGACCAGCTCCACCCCCTCCGCCACCGCCGCCTCCACCTCCACCACCACCGCTGCCTCCGCTCCCACCGCTGCCGCCGCCACCGCCTCCTCCTCCGCTGCTGACACCGCCACCACCGCCCCCGCCACCACTCCCACCGCCACTCCCACTCCCTCCGCCGCCTCCACCGCCACCTCCACCGCCCCCGCCAGGTCCACCCGCGCCCTTGCCCCCCTTGCCCCTGCCAGGGCGGCGTCTCCCGCTAGGGGCAGACGCCGCGCAGACCGACTCAAGACCAAGCAGGTCGGCAGCAGCAGCAGAGGCAACAGAGGGCAGCAGGGGGGAAGGAGAACACCCCTCAAAGATGGGGGTGCGAGGGTCACCACGAGAGGCTCCTACAGCGACGATGCTCTTCTCCGCCGCCAGGAGGGACTTCTCGAGGAGGTCGACAGTGAGAGTGGTGGGACAGACTGAGAGGAAGTGGTCCCTGACTACGTGAAGGGAGTCAGGGAGGCGTGTGACTATGTAATAGAGAGTGATGTACATGGGGGGGGGGTTCTTGGCGCAGAACTCAGCAGGAAGGGCGGCACGGTAGCGAGTGTCACTAGTGCGGAGGTGCGTAATGAGGTCAGCGACAGTGGGAAAGGCAGCAAGGTCAGGAAAGAGGTACGGTAGCATGAGGCGGCTAAGGGCAGCAGTGGCAGGGGAAGAGTAGCGCGCAACTACAGCGTCGTACAAGGTCTGAGCACTCTTGTACTGACTAAAGTGCGCGCGCTCAGTGGTAGGCAGGTGGCGACGCACAGCAAGACGTGCAGCAGCATCGCGGGTGGCCCACTGAGAGCGAACAGTGGGGTCAGCATCAGCAGCAGGGGCAGGAGAGGCGCCAGAGGTGAGGTCAAAGAGGGAAAGACCGTCCGCCCTATCGCACTGTAAGAACAGCTGCAGGTCGTCGACCCAGACCTCAAAGTCAATGGCTCGACCCTCAGCGTCAAAAGCGAGGACACTAGGGGTAGCCATGACGACGACAGTGTAGTAGTGCAAGCAGTAGGGGAAGGGCACGCAGTAGTAACAGTGGTGCTGTGCTCACCAGGCAGGGCAGGTCGGGCGGCTCGGCAGTAGGGCGGCCCGGCGACTCGGCTGCTGGGCGGCTCGGCTCCCGGGCGGCTCGGCGGCAGGGCGGCTCGGCGGCAGGACGGCTCGGCGGCAGGGCGGCTCGGCGGCTCGGCTCCCGGGCGGCTCGGCGGCAGGGCGGCTCGGCAGCAGGGCGGCTCGGCTGCACGGCGGCTCGGTTGCTCGGCTCACGGGCGGCTCGGCAGCAGGGCGGCTCGGCGGCAGGGCGGCTCGGCGGCCGGGCGGTTCGGCTGCAGTGCGGCTCGGCGGCGGGGCGGCTCGGCTGCTCTGCTGCTGGGCGGCTCGGCTGCGCTGCTGTTGGGCGGCTCGGCTGGGCCGCTGACGTAGCGAGGCGGCGGGGCCGCGAAGACGGGCGGCGGGGCCGCTGCAGAGAAGCGGCGGGGCCGCAGGGAAGGGTGGCGGGGCCGCAACGAGAGAGGCGGCGGGGCCGCAGCGAGAGAGGCGGCGGGGGCCGCAGCGAGAGAAGCGGCGGGGCCGCGAAGTCGGGCGGCGGGGCCGCTGAGTAGGGCGGCGGGGCCGCAGTGAGAGGCGGCGGGGCCGCAGCGAGAGAGGCGGCGGGGCCGCGAAGACGGGCGGCGGGGCCGCAGTGAGTGGCGGCGGGGCCGCAGCGAGAGATGGCGGCGGGGCCGCGAAGAGAGAGGCGGCGGGGCCGCAGGTAAGGGGCGGCGCGAAGCCGCCGGTGAGGGCGGCGTAAAGCCGCGGGTAAGGGCGGCGACGGGCCGGGAAAAGGGGCGGCGCGCCGCAGCCGCTATGGCGGCTCGACGCGACCGTAAGGGCGGCACTACGGGCTGCTAGGTGCGACTCGACGGGCCGCTTAAAAAAAAAGGGGCAGGCGCGACTCGAGGCGCGTTTCGGTGGGCCCAAGGAACAGTCCCTAGGAGGGGACCTGCTCTGATTCCATGTGAAAATGAGAACGAGGATGAATGAACTATGAATGAAGTGAGTACATATGGGAAACCCTAATTGTGTTGTACCCCCTATGGGATACCCCACTATAGCCTACACAACAGCATAAGCTATATATATATGTTCTGACAGACCCCGCGCGCATGGTACAGTGTTGTATCCGCCTTATTGAGGGCTTCAGAATGATATATTTTACAGTGAAATTCAGTTTTGCCTTTATAAAAGCGCCGGCGCTTATGGCCGTTACCTAATTACAAGCATCCCCCCTAAAAAAAATGAATTTAGTATAAGCGCATATGCGCTACTATCCGGGGTATTACGGTATGTGAGAACAAGATGAGTTGATTATAGTAAAGAGATACAATGTTTTTATACGACTACAAGGAATGCGAAAGGTTTAACTGTAACTGCTGTTGCGGTTCGATACAACGACGACTCGGGTAACTGCTCAATAGCGAGTCAGTTATTTGTCCTTGCTGTCGCGATGCCTTTTGTCAAGTCAAAGGTTGTTGACCTTTGACCTTCGCTTCAACCTCTTGCTGTTGTCGCCTTGTGAACCGCTTTGGTTGACTCGCCGTTACTTCGTTGTAGTTCGCTTCGCTTTACGTTGTAGTGTTCAACATTTCAGAAGTGTGAATTAGACGTTTCCAACACATAAAAAAGTACCCTAGGGGTCAGGGTACTGGGGGCCTAATACCCTGATTAGCAAGAGTGGCACAAAACCAATTTTGGGCCCTGGTTGAAAATGTAGTCCTCAACAGTTCAAATTTTCTACTCCTGGCTGGTAAATACCATAGACAAGCTGGCTGATTGCAAAGGTTTTTTAAAGCTACAAGCTTGTCCTCGGGCATTCATTGACAATGCGAGTTTGTCAATTTTGGTTCAATGTCAAGATGCTAGAGTCAATCAATCTATCTGGGATTAGAGCGTATTCCTATCCTCGTATCAAGAAAACCTCATATCAACCTCCCACTGAAAATTCCCCTAAACCCAAAACCTCACGCTACTTTTACCAGGCAAAAAGTACAATCTTGATATGAGGTTTTCTTGATACGAGGATAGGAATACGCCCTTAGAATCACCAGCTATAACATTTACGACGAAAGCTATTACCGGAGATTCCTAGATTGTAGGTGGCGGGTCGAAATTATAGTTTGGTTGTCAGCACCACGTGCACTCTTATCGCCTAATACACGTGGTCAGATCTGGAACGAATACGATGACGGCAGCTTGACATATTTCACCCTAGATTAGGGAGCCACGTGCGCGCCAATGAATTATTGAAATTGTGGTGCAATAAACCATGATGCCAACACGATCCCTAGATTTCATTCTCGATGATCACGGCAAACAACATGGCCTGGTCGAAAGGAATCATTCGCACCAACCTTTGGTTGGCTGAGCAAACCCCTGCCGCTGACCTGTTCGCGCGTTTCGCCAGCCCATGTGAAGTACAACTTGACGCGCTTTTTTCTTTCGTTGACCTGGCGCAAACCAGATAACCCACGAATCACGCCTCTAGCGGGAGTCGAAAGGCCTCGCTGATGTGAACCTCACGAAGCTGACATGGGTACCTGAACCATCCAGCGTGGCAGTCGCAACCTCTGGTGTGGTCCTCCGTTGGCCATGCTGGCTTGCACGTGCTATGTGGCTCTTCGCGATTGTCATGCGCTTTTCATCCACAATGGCGTTTTGGTGGCCAAAGGAACAACTGGGGAAAGAAGAAAGCAAGCGATCCACCAAAACCCTAGCTAGACAGTCCCCCATGTGCTTGCATTCGTTTCACAGCAATGTTCGTGTCGGTTATTCCAGGTCTTTTCTTCACGCAACCTCTCCGCCTTCACTCACAAACACGTTTTCCCAAGCCCAGATGTTCCCTCCCCTCCCCCCTTTCTTCCCCCCCTTTCCCTCTATCCCTCTCTCTCCCCCCCCCCCCCCCTCCCCCCCTCTCCCCTCAGACCCACCATCTGAAGTTCCGCATCAGGTCAGTTGGATGGGCTCTTTCCAACCCCCCTAACGCGTGCGCCAGCCCCCCATTGTCACCCAGCCCAATCCACTCGCCCATTGTCCAGTCACTTTCACCTGTCACACAAACTCTTGTCCTGCTCAAACCCTGTTTCGTTACAGGCACAAGCCACTATCCTAACGAGCCTCCCAGAGAATCTAAGATTTCCGTTCCGACTCCTCGACAGCTCGACTCCTCGGACTTGTGACGGCAAGTTGCCTTGGAGAGAGCCAACTTCACCTTCGACTTCCCTTGATCCTTCCTTCCTACCCCAACCCATTCCAATTATGCCACCTCATTTTCCTATTTTCCTCCCTCACTAAGCGACCCTGGAAAGGCGGTCTGGCAATTCCGTTTTCTAAGAGGTGTTTTTTTCTTACGACCAGATGTGTCTGTCGTTAGGCTCAACGTCCTTTCGGCAGTCAGAAGAACCGTTTCACGTGCCTAAAAAATCCATCAGGCGATAATACCACGTGGTTGCGTTTCTATCTAGAATCATGGTCGGCATGTCTCCTTTACTCTTTTCGCCGTCTCCGTCCCACAAGGCCTCCTGGATTGGTAGTAATTGCCCAACATGTTCCAAGTTGGCACAAAACGAAGATCAGGGAATTATTAAGACAAATCCCATAGACTCTCCTAGGAGTACAATGCCGCCACCAACGAAGAAGAAGAGCTACCCTCTCGCTTTAACGATCTCGCGGTTGTTCAAGAAGTCAGCTGCAATCCCTCTGTCTCCTCGTGGTTTAGAGATGCCGGAAGGGAAGGTAGAGACGGCGATCAACGAGCTTTTGAACGGCGGTAGCTGGAGCAAGGACGATGAAGAGCAGCTGAGGACTCACTTCAAGTCCCTCCCCCCTCGGTACGTCTTAGGGTACAAAAGCTCCCACAATCCACTATCTGTTGTTGTTTACGTCATCACCCTGTTTTTTTTTTTGTTTCCCTTGATTTCCTGCTAATCAACATGCTTTTCCATCTCTCCCTGTGTTCGTTTCTGGCAGGTACGCAGCCATGGGTTACTCTTCCGACGCAGTGAGGAGCCACATGGCTCTGCTTAACGAAGCATCAGGCCTGAAGGAGGGGATCCCGGCAATTCGATTGGACGTGAACAACGGCGAGCTTGACACGTTCATGGAGGACGAGAGCGAAACGGACGACTCCTTCTCATCGGCCGGCGGTATCTCTCTCTCGTCGTGCCTCGAGGATTCGTTATCGTCCAGCCGGACCGAGGTCACATTCGCATGCAGCACCCATGTCTGTCGCAGCAACATCTCCTCGACATTTCACAGATCTGGCATCCGAGTTTTTGGAATCTACACGTATGACACAACCGCGGGTGCAACCCTCGGTCATTTCTACATCCGAGCGTCCATTTCTCACGTGTCCAAGAAGCAGATTGAGGATGTTCTTGCGTCGGCTATTAAAAGACCTCCCAAAGGCCTTGGGATTCAGGAAACCCTGTCCAATTTCATTAGCAAGGCGAGTCCGAGACACAGCAGCTTCGGCGAAGGAGACAACAGTCAGAGGTCCAATTTGGGCTCTGTCCCTTCGTCACCTTCTCCGAGCTTCACTTCCAAGCAAGGCTCGCAGCCTGGAAAGGACTTGTTGGAAGTGCTGCTGTGCGAGAAGGGAGCGATGAAGAAGAAGCTTGGTAATTTCATCCTTGATCCGCTTATGTTGTCAATGGGACCGGTGATTGCTGTTGGAGCGTCAGGCGAAGTCAGGAAGGGGACGTACGACGGAGAAACGGTCGCTGTTAAAGTGCTGAAAGGGGAGGGTAAAGACCCGTACGCGAACGTAGCGGAGTTTCGCCGGGAGGTAGTAACCCTAATGTCGTGCGGCCAGTGTCCGCAGCTTCTGAAGTTTCTGGGTGTCTGCATCGACTTTCGGCAACGGATCTGCATTGTTACAAAGTTCATGGAGGGAGGGACTCTGAACGACCTGCTCAGGCGACGCCAGGGCAAGAGTTTGCCGCTCAACGACGCAGTGAACGTCGCACGCGACGTCGCACAAGCCATGGCGTTTCTTCACAAGAACGGAATGATTCACCGCGATGTTAAGTCCGCAAATATTCTCTTAGATAAGGAGGGTCACGCAGTGGTGGGAGATTTTGGCGTGGCTAGACTAAAAGGAGAGCGAGGGGAGATGACCAAGGAAGTCGGAACCTACAGATGGATGGCTCCTGAAGCCTTCGGTACGAGTCCATGGCCGGTCACCCATAAAGCCGACGTCTACAGTTTCGGAATCGTTTTGTGGGAAGTTTTAACAGGGGGAGTGCCGTTTGCTGATTATTCCCCGCTACAAGCTGCTGTGGCTGTTGCTCTTAACGGAGCTCGTCCGACTATTCCGGCATCGTTACCGGAATCGCTTCGCTCGCTGATTGAACGGTGCTGGCACAAGTCGCCCAAGGAGAGACCAGAGTTCAGCGAAATTCTATCTGAGCTTGACCGGATTGCTAAGGAGATTCAGCAGCAGTAAGAGTCTTCCTTAGCTAAACCGGCCAAGGTCAACCAATTTTGAGGCAAGGCCATCCAGATTTTCCCTTCCTGGTTGAGCCCGTCTTCTCATTTTCAGTGTACAGCTCCTCTTGTCACGTGGGACCAGCTTTTCATGTGCAGGTGTTACAGCAGCTCAGCAGTAACTCCCCCAATTTTGTAGGAATTAAGGTGCTTGATGAAGTATTCCGTGTGCCACAACCAGGAACTGGTGTACCACGCTGATGCTAACATGTGATTTATATGGATTTGTCAAGGTATAGAAAGTTAACATTGCTCAAGAGTCGTTAAGTGTGTTAAATTCTGAACTTCTCGTGCTGGTAGAAATGCATGATGGTCGTGCTCGGCACAGCTTTGGATGTAAAATACGTATACTCATCATGAGCTAAGACACCTACGCTTCTGATCTCGGAGAGGTAGGAATGCTACAGTTCTCTTAGAACTATTTGACAACTGACATTTCCTGGCTGTTGCTCCAAATGCTGTGTCTACACTGATAACATAATAGCAGCTCCTCTAATCAATGTGCCACCTTAACATCATTGCAACCCATACACATCCACCCGCATTGCGTCCCCACCAGCAAACAGCAGCCGCTGCCCATGCGCCCACTTGATATCATGATACCGCCCGGGCTGCCGTCCATCCTGGAACCCCCCTGCCAGCCTGACACTGCCTCCACCACTCGGCCCCACACTGCCACTCAAATCAGCCAAGTACAGCCCCCGCACAGTGCTCACAGCGACGACACCTGGCAGCATGCTACTGGCCAGCTTGAGAATGGGGGATTCGTCCAGGTTCAGCGAACCGAGAGGCGGGGAGTTCCCGAGGGAGTGCAGGGAGCGCAGGTCCCAGAGCTTCAGGTAACCATCCATGCCGCCTGATGCCACTGTAACAGATGCTGGGCATGCGTCCAATGCGGTTACCATGCCCGCATGCGCCTGGGGGCGACCCGAGGAGGAGGGGGAGCCAAGTAGTGCTGGTGGTGAGGGGAAGGGAGTATGGGGGGAAAGATCAGGGAAGGATAGAGTTTCAGGTAACCGTCCATGCCGCCTGATGCCACTGTAAGATGCTGGGCATGCGTCCAACGTGGTTACCATGCCTGCATGTGCCTGCGGGCGGCCCGAGGAGAAGGGGGAGCCAAGCAGAGCTGGGGGAGGGGAAAGGAGCAAGGGTGGGAAAAAGCAGGGGAGGGAGAGAGTAAGGGGGGGGGGAGGAGGGTTTGAGGAGAAAGAGGAATGGGACAATGGAAGGAGAAAATGGGAGCGACCACCAGTTTGGTGCCATGACTTTGATTGGTAAGACTAGTGCTTAGATAAGTGCAACAAGTGTGTATTTGCACATACCAACAGCGTTGGAAGCACGGCGGTCCCAGAGGCGAATGATGGCGTCCCGAGAGGTGAGTGGGCGATTAGTTGGTAAAGAAGTGCGACTCGAGTGACTCGATAAGTGAGTATTTCAGGAGAGTTTTGAGACGCCTCAAAACACTTCTTTTATCACGGGGCGATTAGTGGGTAAGGAAGTGCGACTCGAGTGACTCGATAAGAGAGTATTACAGGATGGTGAATCCACGTACCAACAGCGTTGGAAGTGCGGCGATCCCAGAGGCGAATGGTGGCGTCCCGAGAGGCGGAGAGGAAGAGGTTGGGGTTGGGGGGGAACACTGTCAGACACGTGATCAGGTCCTGGAAAGGCAGGGGGGGGGGAGCAGGGGAGGAGGAAAACGAAAGATCCATGAGGTTAGCCTTATTGAGAATTCTCAAAAATGATTTTCCATGAGCTCAGCCCTATCCGACATACCTCGTGCTCCGTGCATTGCCTGACGGGTTGTAGGCTTGAGAAACGCGCGCTGCCTCTCACTCACCTGCCAGCCCTTCAGCTCCAGCAGCTATCCAAAACTAATCTGTCGAAACCTATAAGCCTCAACCTGGCCAGCCCACTATACCTCACCTCGTGCTCCGTGTATCACCTGATGGGGTGAAGGCTGGAGAAGGGCAGGCCTATCTCTCACTCACCTGCCAGCCTCTCATATCCAACTCAGCCCACTAAGCCAGCTCACCTCATGATCTGTGTACTGTTTGAATGGGTGCAGGCTGGAAAATGGCGCCCCCGTGAGGTTGTAGCAGCAGATGCGATCACGAGGGGAGGCAGGAGAGGCCACACCTACCATCTCAGCTCCCGTGCACCCACCTCGTGCTCCGTGTACTGCCTGACGGGGTGCAGGCTGGAGAATGGCGCCCCAGTGAGGACATAGCAGTAGATGCGGTTGCGAGGGGAGGCAGGAGGAGGCAAGATGCAAGCGAGGAAGGCCATACACACAAGAGTAGCTCTCTTGCACACACCTCGTGCTCCGTGTATTGCCTGACGGGGTGCAGGCTGGAAAAGGGCGCCCCTGTGAGGTCGTAGCAGCAGATGCGGTCGCGCGGCGAGGCAGGAGAGCTGTCGGATGGAGCCATGCTCTCCGCTGTGATGAACGCCATGTCTGGATGGATGCCTATGGCCTGATGAGGGCAGAGAGATGGAGAGCGGTGAAGAGAGGTGAATAGAGGTGAATAGAGGTGAAGAGTGATAAAGAGAGCTGTCGGATGGAGCCATGCTCTCGGCTGTGATGAACGCCATGTCTGGATGGATTCCTATGGCCTGATGATGGTTGGGAGGTGGAGAGTGATGAAGAGAGAGAGAGGAGGGAGGGAGGAAAGACATTGAATGGAGCCATGCTCTTGGCCGTGATGAATGCCATGTGTGGATGGAGCCATGCTCTTGGCCGTGATGAATGCCATGTGTGGATGGATGCCCATGGCGTGGATGGTGATAGAGAGCCGTGAAGGGAGATGGAAAGAGATGAAGAGATGGGTGGGAAGGAAGGAAGCAGGAGAGCCGTCAGATGGAGCCATGCTCTCCGCTGTGATGAATGCCATGTCTGGATGAATGCCGAATGTGTGGTGTGTAGAGAGATGAAGGGAGGTGGAGAGAGGTGAAGGGAGATGAAGGGAGATGAAGGGAGATGAAGCGAGATGAAGCGAGAGAGGAGGGAAGGATGGGAGGAGGAGAGCTGTCGGAGAGTGCTGTCATAAAGGCCATGTCTGGATGGATGCCCATGGCCTGGCGGTGGGGATTTGGGGTGAGCAAGGGTGTGGGTAGGTGGAGTGGAGTGCAGGGATGTGGGTAGGAGTGCAGGGATGTGGGTAGGGACACATCCCACAGGATACAAGCACAATTCTTCACAAGCACACCTCGATACAAGCACACCTTGATAAAAGCACACCTCTTCACAAGCACACCTTGATAAAAGCACACCTCTTCACAAGCACACCTTGATAAAAGCACACCTCTTCACAAGCACACCTTGATACATGATATCACACTCGTCTGGTTGCGATCCAGCCGCCCTGTCACTTGCCACCCTCCGCCTCCTCCTCCCCCTGCCCCTCCCCCTGCCACTCCCCCTGCCCCTCCCCCCTCGTCCCCTGTGAGTTGCAGGATGCATGGGGCAATGGGGTTGGAGGCCGGTTGACCTTCACTCATATCATCCTGATGTGGGACAGGGGAGCGGGGGAGGGAGGGAGAGAGGAGGGGCAAAGCTGAGGGAAAGGGGTTACAGGTTTGGAACAAAAATATTCAGCCGTTCGGTCACTTGTCACCCTCTCCCTTCCCCACCTGCCCCCCTCCCCCCTCGTCCCCTGTGAGTTGCAGGATGCAAGGGGCAACGGGGTTGGAGGCCGGTTGACCCTCGCTCATGTCGTCCTGATGGCAGCAGGGGAGGGTGTGTGCTGGGGGGAAGAGAAGTCGGAAGAAAAAACAGGTTTCAGAAGGAAAAAGCTCTTCACCAAAACAGGTCTGGAACGGAAAACGTTTGTACCGAAACCGGATCGGACGGGCGAATATGTCAGAATCTGATTCGAAGAGAAGAAAGATGTGGGGCGAAGCAGGGAATACTGTGGGAAGAGAGTTGTGAAAAAATACGAGCACTACATGACTGGATACATACCCTTGTTACCTCGTTCTTTACTATAAGAACTTGGATTTACTATTGAGAATTCTCAAACGGATTTACTATGATATTTTTTTGGCTGGCATAGCTCCTGTGTGGCGTCACTCACTCTTGGTGCAGCTGCGAGCAGCAGGGAGGAGGGCGAGTATAGGAGGTCCATGCCACACACGTAGTGCGCCCCGAGCAGCAGAGACTGGCGGGGCTGTATAGGGGAGGAGAGGGGAGAAGGCAGAGAGGAAGAAGGGGAAAAAAAGGGATAAGCACCAAGCACGGACGGATAGGGCGAGTATAGGAGGTCATGCCACACACGTAGTGCGCCCCGTGCAGATGAGGCTGCCGCCCATGGCTGCACTCTACATCACCCACTGCTGCCATTCCTGAACTTGCGGCAACGCCATTCCCAGGCCCACGCCACCCCATGTGCACACCCACCTTGCCATCGCCCCCCCACATGATGAGACTCCCGTCCATTGCAGCACTCCAGGTCGCACCACTGTTGCCGTCCACCCCCACTGCCAGCCCTCTAAACCGCAAGAACCTGTACCGCGTCCCCACACGCACCTTGCCATCGCACCCCACATTATGAGACTCCCGCCCATGGCTGCACTCCAGGTCGCTCCACTGCTGCCGTCATCCACCCCCACTGCCATCCCAAGTTTATAACCATTACCCCATGCACACACACACGCACCTTGCCGTCGCCCCCCCACATGATGAGACTGCCGTCCATCGCCGCACTCCAGGTTGCGCCGCTGCTGCCGTCCACCCCCACTGCCAGGATGGTGTGCTGATGCCCGTGGTAGGAGTCGAGTGGGACCAGCAGGGCTGTGAGTATGGGGAGAAGCACATGCACAAGGCGTGGAGATGGGTTGCAATGATGGTGTGTACGGTCGCTGCTGCCATCCCACACCCCCACTGCCAGCCAGGATGGTGTGCTGATGGCCGTGGTGGGAGTCGAGTGGGACCAGCATAGCTGATGGGAAGGACAAGGGAGACAGAAATGGGGTGTGAGGGACAAGCTTGGGGAACGGGGAGTGGCATGGATATGGAATGAATGATGCTCGTTGCTGCCGTCCACCCCCACTGCCAAGATGGTGTGCTGTGCTGCTATGCCCGGATCTGTGCTCACCCCTACTATAGTGTGGTGTGGTGTGGTGTGGTGCGGTGTGGTGTGGTGTGGTGTGCCGCCGACCCCATTGCTCCTGCTAAAGCAACTTTTCACAGGGACCGACCTTGGACTTCGACACAAAACTTGGCAACAGCTGGATTCGAACCCCCGACCTTTGCTCAGATACCACATTAATAGGCCACGTTAGAGGGAACGTGGATGGCGAAGGAGAGGACTGCATCGGATTGACTGATCTTTAATTGAATTCAAAAGTGACTTTTGAGTTTTGAGGCGCCTCAAAAGCCACCAAGGAACATACTTGGGTTATTCGGGGGGCGATGGACTGAGATGGAGAAAATTGCATTGCATCACCTGAACTTAAAAAAGCTCACATATGAGAGGCCTCAAAAGTCACCATAAACCTACTTGGGTTGTTAGACGGAACGGTGGACTGAGATGGAGAGGACTGCATGGGATCGGTTGCTCCACTGCCCTTCACCTCCCCACCACCACCTCCTCCTGCCGCTAATGCTGGTGGTGGTGGTGGCACTCCTGCTGCTGCTGGTGCTAGCGCTGGTGCTCCTGGTGCTGGTGCTGCTGCTGCTGCTGCAGCTGCTGCAGGGAGGGTGCAGGCGGAGGTGGAAGGGGAGGAGCCGGACAGAAGCATCAGCTGCTGCCGCGCCTGAGCCAACTGCTGCTGCAGCTGCTGCTGCACCTGCTGCAGTTGCTGTGGCGGCTGCGGTGACTGGTGCTGCTGCTGATCTAGCCCTGGGTGCTGTTGCTGTACCATCTGCTGTGGCAGAGGGGGATGCTGCTGCTGCTGCTGCTGCTGCTGCTGTTGCTGTGAGGGGGCTGAGAGCTGCTGCAGTTGCTGCTGCACCTGCTGCATCTGCTGCTGAAGCTGCTGCTGCAACTGAAACATCTGCTGCTGCTGCTGCAGCTGCTGCTGCTGTGGCTGCTGCTGCTGCTGCTGCTGCTGCTGTTGTGCTTGCTGCTGCACTGCTTGCAACTGTGACTGCAACAACTGCTGCTGCTGCAGCAGCTGCAACTGTAACTGCTGCTGCTGCTGTTGTGGCTGCATCAGCTGTTCCCCACCTTTTCCTACTCCTCCTGCTGTCGTTACTCCTACCATTGCTCCCTGCACATCACCCATACCTGCCTGTCCCTGCCCTTGCCCCTGCACCTGACCCAGCCCCTGCGTTTGCATCTGATGCGTTGGCACAGGAGGGTTGACGGGAGGAGGAGCGGTAAGGGCCATAGGAGACTGTCTGGACGGCTGAGATAGGGGCAGGGGGGGTTGAGATGGGGAGAAGGGGAGCTGCGACGGGGGGAGCGGGGGCTGCGAGGGCGGAAGGGGTGCGTGAGATGGGGGGAGGGGGGCGGAGAGGGGAGCTGGAGAGGACCCAGCTGCTGCCAGAGCGGCTGTAGCGGCAGCACCAGCAGAAAGAGCGGCTGTAGCAGGGGTAACGGCGGGAGGAGCGGCTGTAGCGGCAGGAGCAGGAGAGGTGGTAATTGGGTTGTCTGACCAGCCGAGGCTGCCCCTCACGTAATTTACGTCATAGCTGGATGGACGGATGGGAGGTGGAGGGGGGGGAGGTGTGGGGGAAAAAGAGAGCGGACCAATTGCCGGTATAAGTCTTGTGCTTTGAGACGTCTCAGAAGTGTCCCAGCCCATACCCCATACCCGCTCTCACCCCCAACGTTTCCTTTCCTCCCCCCTCTCACTGGAAAGCCTCCTCCTCTAGTCCCCCACGGCTGCTGCTGCTCTCAACTCCCTTTCTCTCCCCGCCTTTCTTCACCTTCGTCCCCTCGTCTCTCACCCATCAAACCACCCCTTCGCCTGCTTTCTCACCAGAAGGCCTCCTCCTGGAATCCCAAGACGGCTTTCCTCAACTCCCCTCCCTACTCCACCCTCGAACCCTCGCCTCTCACCTATCATCCACCCCCCTTTCCTCCCTCTCTCCTCTCACCGGAAGGCCTCCTCCTGGAGTGCCAAGACAGCATTCCTCAGCTCCTCCATCTTGCCGGGGTCGCCCTGAGCCACCTGCTTGAAACACCCTTCCCACTCACCCCCGCTCCCTCTCTCCTCTCACCGAAATGCCTCCTCCTCGAGTCCCAAGACGGCTTTCCGCAGCTCCTCCATCTTGCCCGGGTCGCCCTGAGTGCCTTTCCACCCTTCTCTCGCCTCTCACCCACCATCTCTACCTTTTCTCACCGAAATGCTTCCTCTTTGAGTCCCAAGACGGCTTTCCGCAGCTCCTCCATCTTGCCCGGGTCGCCCTGAGCCACCAGCTGATGCGGGTGGAGGGGAAGGGATTGAGTACAAGGAGAGGGAGGAGCACGTGGGAGGGAGGGTGGGCGGGTGGGCATGGAAGCAGCAAAGGGGGCGGCACTGCAATGGGCTCTCAACTCCTCCATCTTGCCTGGGTTGCCCTGCGCCACCAGCTGACAGGGAATGATGGACAGGACGGGTGTGCATGGAAAGGAGGAAACGGCAGGGATGAGATGGAAGAAGGAAAGGAGGAAACGGCAGGGATGAGATGGAAGAAGGAAAGGAGGAAACGGCAGGGATGGGATGGAAGAAGGAAAGGAGGCGGCACTGCAATGGGCATGCGCGGCAGGGATGAGGTGACACATGAGAGACACATGAGAGACACATGCGAACCTGGACACCTGGACAGCTCATGAAAGGTTGTGTTGTTCTCACCTGGGGAGCGCAGAGCTCCACGGTCTTCCCCAGCATGGTCACTGCAGCACAGCGGTTATGCGTCTTGTCCGGCATGCTTGCATATTGGGAAGGGGGGTTCTTTCATCAGGGGAACACGGGGGTTGTTGTGTTGGTCTCACCTGGGGAGCGCAGAGCTCCACGGTCTTTCCCAGCATGGTCAAAGCAGCACGGCGATTGTCTGGCTTGTGCGGCATGCTTGCACAGCAGAGAGGGATGCTACCTCAAGGGCACAAGGGCGGATGGGAGTCTCACCTGCGGGGCACAGAGCTCGACGGTCTTCCCCAGCATGGTGACGGCAGCACGGCGATTGTCTGGCTTGTGCGGCATGCACATAAGGGCTCGTGGTTGTGTGGCTGTGCTGCTGCTGCTGCTGCTGCTGCTGCTGCAAGCACATGGGATGAGGGAGTGCTAGTCTCACCTGGGGAGCACAGAGCTCGACAGTCTTCCCCAGCATGGTGACTGCAGCACAGCGGTTGTCGGGTTTGCATGGCATGCTTGCATATAAGAGAGGGTTGTTACCTCAAAGGCACAATGGCGCCACCTGCGGGGCGCAGAGCTCAACAGTCTTCCCCAGCATCGTGACTGCAGCACGGCGGTTATCTGGCTTGCCTGACATGCTTGCATATCAGAGAGGGTTGTTACCTCGAGGGCACATGGGGGGGTGTTGGTCTCACTCTCTCACCTGGGGAGCACAGAGCTCGACAGACAGTCTTCCCCGGCATGGTCACTGCAGCGCAGCGGTTGTCTGGCTTGTCAAGCTCGATGCTGATGGCGGCTCACGGCTATGTGGCTGTGCTGCGAGCACATGGGGTGTTTGGCATGCACCTGGGGGCCACATAGGGGGTCTCACCTGCGGGGCACAGAGCTCGACAGTCTTCCCCAGCATGGTCACTGCAGCACAGCGGTTGTCTGGCTTGCGCAGCAACGTGAGGATGGTGGTGACGGCGCCTGGTGGGGTTGCATATGTGGTGGGATGGGATGGTGGGTGGGAAGCAAGGATTCTTAAGGTTGCATACACATGTGATGGCATGTGGTGTGAGGAAAATAAGGTACAATTTAGGTGACTGGGGCTTGATGGGCCTTGAGGTGCCTCAGGCTGCTTGCAGCACAGCGGTTGTCTGGCTTGCGTAGCAACATGAGGATGGTGGTGACGGCACCTGGCGGAGTTGTGTATGTGGTGGGATGGTGGGATGGAAGAGGAAATGGGGTGACTGGAACTGGCTGGGCCTTGAGGCGCCTCAGGCTGCTTGCAGCACAGCGGTTGTCTGGCTTGCGTAGCAACGTGAGGATGGTGGTGACGGCGCCTGGCGGAGTTGTGTATGTGGTGGGATGGGATGGTGGTGACGGCGCCTGGTGGGGTTGCGTACATGATCGGATGGTAGTTAAAAGGAAGGGCAAATTCTGTGTTTCCCAAGCACCGAGCATGTGATGTGAGGATGGCACCGGTACGGTTGCTTGCACACATGTCTGTTGGGAAAAAAAGAGGTGTGAGTGAATAGCGGCACATCACAGGCCGGCCCCTTCTCATGTCAGATGCATGCATGCCATGCAATGCCATCCATCAGCATTCCAGGTCACCACAAGTGCCAGCTCACCCTGAATTGAGACGAACTCGAGGTGCACGAGGGCAGCAAACGCCTCCGCATGGACAAAAAACTCCGCGCGGCTGGCATCGGGCTGCCGCTTTATCGTGAGGAACTTGAGAATCTGCAGATTGAGTGGCAGACCGGGAAGAGGATTTTGGCTTTAAGGTTCAGGGACCGTGGTCCATGGTTCATGGTCGGAACAAGAGGATTTTTTATGTGAGTTGCTTGCTGGCAACATAAGATGTCACTTATGAGTTTTTTTAAAAAGTCGCACAGATATAGCTGCTGGCTGGGCGCATGACATGGTAGCTGGGAGCATGACATGGTGGCTGGGAGCATGACATGGTGGCTGGGAGCATGACATGCTGGAAGATTGGACAGCGCCCACCATCACCACGTACCTTGGGAGCATGACATGGTGGGAAATGGGACAGAGCCCACCAGCATGTACCTTGGGGATGAGCGTGTCTCTCATCTTGACCTTGCCGCGTCGGGTAACTTAAGAGTCTACTCAAGAGTCAACATGCTTGGAAGTTAGACAGTACCCACCACGTACCTTGGGGATAAGCGTGTCTCGCATCTTGACCTTTGCCGCGTCGGGTAACGTGCCGGCAACACACGTGTGTGTATGTATGCACTCTGTACTGTCTACACTCTGCAGTGTACAGCACCCACCAGCACCCACCAGCGCCAACCAGCACCCACCAGCGCCAACCAGCGCCAACCAGCACCCACCAGCACCCACCAGAACCTACCGTGGGGATAAGCGTGTCTCTCATCTTGAACTTTGCCGCGTCTGGTAACCTGCTGCCAGCCACACGTGTGTGTGTGTACCCTGTATGCACTCTGCGGTGCACCCACCTGCCACTTACCTTGGTAACCTGCCAGGCGCACACGTGTGTGTATGTACCCTGTATGCACTCTGCGGTGCACACCACCCACCTGCTACCTACCGTGGGGATAAGCGTGTCTCTCATCTTGACCTTTGCCGCGTCTGGTAACCTGCCGGCCACACCCGTGTGTGCATGTATGCACTCTGTATACACTCTGCAGTGTACAGCACCCACCAGCACCCACCAGCACCCACCAGAACCTACCTTGGGGATAAGCGTGTCTCTCATCTTGACCTTTGCCACGTCTGGTAACCTGCCAGCCACACACAGGGGAACGCACAAGGGGAATGAAGCACGGAAACACACGATAGAAAATCCTGCCAGCCGCATACGCAGGCACGTACTGGTGACTGGTTGTCTGGTGGGAAAGAGACAAGGCCCTCGCTTCCTCACTCACCGTGGCACGAGGCGCATGAAGGTCACAACAACACTAATCTTTTGAGCCAGAAGGTCCGTTTCAAACACCACGTGGAGGAATGCTGCCACGAGCCACACGCAACACACTCACCCCACTCACTCCCTCACCCCACTCACACACTCACCGTGGCACGAGGCGCATGAAGGGCACAACGCTGATCTTCTGAGCGAGCAGAGCATGGGGCAGGCAAGCAGGCATGTACTGGCTGGCTGTCTGGTACTCTGGCAGGAGAGAAAGTAGCCCCTCACTCATTCACTAAGCGCACACACCTTGGCACGAGGCGCATAAAAGGAACGACGCTGATCTTCTGAGCGAGCAGGTCCGTTTCAAACACCACGTGCAGGAATGCTGCCGCGAACGCATTTAAGGGCTCCTGTGGTAACCAGACAGGCAGGGTTTCGGATTTTGACAGGCAGGGTTTAAGGTTTTGCATTGAAACATCAGAACATGCAATGACGTCATGTAGGCATGCAACTGGTGCTGGTTGAATTGCAGAATGGGTAGTGGGGCATGAGAAGTGGGTAGAGGGTAGGGGTAGTGGGTAGTGGGTAGTGGGTAGTGGGTAGTGGGTAGTGGGTAGTGGGTAGTGGGTAGTGGGTAGTGGGTAGTGGGTAGTTGGTTGTGAGTTAGGAGTCAGGAGGAGATTAGGAAGGCACACCAACGCATGGGGACTTCGATTGATGCCTCCCATTATAATCACAAGCATAAAGCACAAACCTCATTGGCCTTCGCCCCATCCGCTGCCCCTTCTTTCTCCTCCCCGTTTCCGCTTCCGCTCTTGCTCCCGCCTCCACTACCCCCCGCGCCCCCTTTCTCCCCCGATCCCCGCCCCCCTGCGCCTTCCCCCAGCAACGTGCGCACATCCCGCGCAACCGAATCCAGCTCCGCGGGGTCGCGCAGGCGCGCAATCAGCGCCTCGAACAAGGGGCGCAAATTGCGTGCGCGCACATCGTCCGCGATTGCCCTGGTCCGGGCGGGCGCGCGGGGGGGGGGGGGGGGTCGGGGGGAAAGGGGGGCGCGGATATGGTAAGAAGAGGCGTAGTAGTGCTTGCCATGCCACTGCGCGCCATGCCAGCGCGGCGGAAGGGGGACGGGCGCAAATCGGCAGGCGCGCGTGGAGGTGCGAAAGGGCGCACCTGAGGTATCAATTGTTTCTAATGGGTGGTGGCTAGCGCTGCCACGTGGTGTATGCTTGCGCTGCCACGTGGCATCACTCACCTGAGGGCGCTAAATAGATGCGTCGCGAGAGGAATCTCCTCCGCACTCACGTCCACTTCTATCACTATTCGCATCGTGCCCCTCGGTATTGTCACTTCTAGGAGACCCACACGGACTGCAGCTATTACCCAAATCAGACAATGTTTCGAAAACAAGATGTCCTCAGCGACCACAGCAGGCATCCATTGTAGTAACTGCTTTTATGACCTAGTTGCAAAAGTTGATCAGGCGCAGAAGCAAAATGGGGCGAAGGAACAAGTAGCCCAGCAAATTAGTTGTGGTTTTGCCACTTGTTTGCCTAGGGGGGCTTGACTGAAATCTGGATCGATTGAGTGCACTTCGTTACCGCACACAATTGTGCACCTCGTCTTCATAATAATTATATTTCTCCATATGCTTTATCATTTGGAATTACTGAATTTGTTCCAGACTGTAGCGGTGCATGACGTGGGTGATAAGCAGATTACTGGTGGATAACATCGCCAGCCGCATGGCATGCACCCATTGGTGTTAATCCTCACGCGATAGCACGTGGTACCTCGAATCACTCGGCCGCATGCGATATTTCCGTCCAATCCGTGGCGGACCTTGGCGCGAGTCGCATGAGAACGTCATGAGGCAAGGCAACCCCTTTCTTTTGCTTTCCCGCAGTTTGTACTTGGGAAGAAGGATATGTCTTATTGAACAGCTTATAAAATTCTTATTCCTCTGCATCAGCTGTGTTGTACCAGAAGATATCGTCAAAGTATGCCCAAAAACACTTTACTCGGAAAACCAAAATCGTAATTTCCTCGGTTGAATTTTCACGTCGAAGTGCAGACCTGTTCCCAAGGTACCCCTGTCTTGAGAAAAGGCGGGAACGAGATCTGCGTCAGCCAATCGGCAAACGCTGCAACCTCCGCCACCTCCTCCTGTCCCCGCCCTCTCCCCGCACCTTCCTCCGCCTCTCCCCTCCTTCCCGCGCTTTTCCCATAGCTTCCCACTTGTGTCTGATCCTGACCAGATGTCGGTCCCCCAGAAGGGAATGGTGAGAGCCAGTTTCCCTCAGAAACCCATTCAACCGTTCTAGACTTGACATTGTGCGTCTTGAAATGCAGGACAACTGAGATGGCGTTCCTAAGATGGGGCCCCAACCGAAGTCCCCCCAAGAGGCCCAAAAGTGCAGATATTCGGGTACAGCGTGGCAGTTTTGCAAATGACCACACCTTATTCACGTGCCACACGAATGGGGATACACAGATAGACGAGTTTGAGCGAATTATCAAAACCAATCAGGTGCGTGTAACCCCAGCAATTTCAAGATCGCTCTAAACTCGTTTTCGTGTGCCTACCCCCAACAAAGTGCTTCAAAAATATTGTCAAACGTGACATTCCCAAACACGTGTTTCGTGCACTGTTGCTGGGGGAAGTTCGGTTGGAGCCCCATTTTAGGAACACCATCTGAAGTAGAGGCTTATGACACAACCGAAGGCGGAACTTATCCTGGCTGGTTTATAGGTCAGTTTTACCATGAGCAATCAGACTTGCGCAGTGAGCAGAATTTCAGAATTCAGAGACAGGTTGCCAGTGTGACCAGCAACTAGAACCTTCATCTTCTAGCATTTTGCTGGTTTCTGCATTGCCTTGCAGAGGAATTAGAGGCTTTCCTCTAGTGCTGTATTTTTCTACTGTGACATTTTTAGATCCCGTGCTAATTGCTTGACTCGTTATGGCTACGTTACGCGTTGCGTCGTCCGCAACAGCTGCAGTCGGAGTATCACCGTGTGCAGTTTCAGCGACCAAGCAACAGCACTCTCAAATCTCCTTCCTAAGCACGGTGAAAAATGCTCCGCTAAGAGCAGTTTCTTATCGAAGCGTAAAAGCTATTCCCTCGCCAGCATTGCGACCCACAGCAGCCTTCTCGGATAATTCTTCTTCCACCTCGCCGCTTCGCCATTCGCTCTTACGCTCGGAAGCAGCGGTCGAGAATCGCGAAGCTTCGTGGAGCAAGCGATCAGCGGTTGTGACGCGGAGCGGCGATGGCGAAACGGCGGAAGCAGCATCAGGCGATGCGAAGAGCGAGCTGACGAAAACGATTCAGCTGGGATCGCTGTTCGGGCTGTGGTACCTCTTTAATATCTACTTCAACATTTACAACAAGCAGGTGGGTTTGTTGTGAAAGACAGTGGGCTGCCCAATGTCTTTCACAAAAGGCGATCTAGCTAGCTACTTGAAGGAATGTGTTATCTGTTCCTCATTCACTACCTGAAACGTCGTTCTCCTCCTGTGCAGGTGCTCAAGGTGTTCCCGTACCCGCTCACCATCACGACGGTGCAATTCGCCATCGGGTCGACTTAAGAGTCTGCTTATTTCCTGACCCGCCCCTCCCCTCCCGTGCAGGTGCTCAAGGTGTTCCCGTACCCGCTCACCATCACGACGGTGCAATTCGCCATCGGGTCGACTTAAGAGTCTGCTTATTTCCTGACCCGCCCCTCCCCTCCCGTGCAGGTGCTCAAGGTGTTCCCGTACCCGCTCACCATCACGACGGTGCAATTCGCCATCGGGTCGACTTAAGAGTCTGCTTATTTCCTGACCCGCCCCTCCCCTCCCGTGCAGGTGCTCAAGGTGTTCCCGTACCCGCTCACCATCACGACGGTGCAATTCGCCATCGGGTCGATCTTGGTGCTGCTGTCGTGGGCCACCAACATCGTCAAGCGGCCCACCATCTCTAAGGCGCAGGTGAGGCAGGCGCAGGTGAGGCAGGCGCAGGTGAGGCAGGCGCAGGTGAGACAGGCGCAGGTGAGAATGCGCCTCTTCATCCCATCCCTTCTCATCACCTCATCCCGTATCTACTCGTCCCGTATGCTTCCATGCCAGTTCCATATTTCTCTCTATTCCATTCCCCCTTCATTTCCCTCCCATATTCCCCAGCTCCTGGCGATCCTGCCTCTCGCTCTCGTGCACACCATGGGCAACGCGTTCACCAACGTCAGTCTCGGCAAGGTGGCCGGGTCGTTCACTCAAACCCCTTACCCCACCACCCTATACACCCCATACACCCCTTCTTGGTTCCCATTTTCCCCAGCTCCTGGCGATCCTGCCTCTCGCTCTCGTGCACACCATGGGCAACGCGTTCACGAACGTCAGTCTCGGCAAGGTGGCGGTGTCGTTCACGCACACCATCAAGGCGCTCGAGCCCTTCTTCTCCGTCACGCTCTCTGCCCTCCTGCTGGGGGAGGTGAGTCTCAGGTCGAGTGTAAGGGGGATGGGTGAACGGGAGGGGAGTTGGGAAGGGGAAAAAGGGGGTCGGGGAGGAATTGGGTGAGGCGGTTTGTGCGAGTGTGGGCAGAGTGGCATTTCAGCAACCCCACGCTGCCGGTCATCCTCGCGCTCATGCCCATCGTGGGAGGCGTAGCGCTTAGAGCTCCCAATTTGAATCTTCTGTCACCCCTTCCCACCCCTCCCAACTCCCCGCCACACCCCCTCCAGCAACCCACGCTGCCTGTGATTCTCGCGCTCATGCCCATTGTGGGAGGCGTGGCGCTCGCGTCGGCCACCGAAGCTTCATTTAACTGGTGCGTACCGTGCCGTGCTGTGCCATGCTATTTAATATTTATGTTGTGCCATGTCATGTGCATGCCATGCCATTCCGTGCTGTGTTCTCCCTACCATGTCATGTGCATGCCATGCCATTCCGTGCTGTGTTCTCCCTGCCATGTCATGCTCATGCCACGCTGAGCTGTGCTGTTTCGCTGCTTCCTCTCTCGCCTCTGCCACTGAAGCGTCCTTCATAAAGGTATTTGCACCCCTTTGGCCCCCCCTTCTGCACCCCTTTGCATCTCTCTGCATGCAGGGCGGGCTTCTTATCAGCCATGGCTTCTAACCTCACCATCCACTCTCTTTGTCCCCCTAACATCCAACCAACCCCTTTGCCCCCTTCTGCACTCCTTCCACTCTCTTTGTCTTCTCTGCGTGCAGGGCGGGCTTCCTCTCGCCCATGGCGTCCAACCTCACCTTCCAGTCTCTTGTAACCCTACCAATCTACCTACCCCTTT